TCCTGTGGGACTTCCAGATCCAGATGGACAGGCAGGTACTGGCCAATCAAGCAGACATCATGGTAGTAGACAAGGATCAGAAGACAGTGGTGGTGATAGATGTAGTGGTGCCAAGTGACAGCAAGTGGTGCCAAGTGATCAGGAAGAAGGAGTATGAGAAGAAGTACCAGGGCCTGAAGAAAGAACTAGAGAGGATGTGGAAAGTAAAGGCCAAAGTGCTCTCAGTGGTGATAGGAGCACTTGGGCCTGTGACTTAAACTTGGAGAGTGGCTCCAACAGATCCCAGGAACAACATCAGAGCTCTGTCCAGTGCAGTGCTAGGAACAGCTAAGATACTGCTGTTATCTATGTTGCAGAACCTTCAAACTCCCATGCCTCTGGTAGAGGACCAAGATTGAGGAAGACACATACCACCTATAGGGGTGAGAGGAGATTTTGTGTCTCTGTGTGTGTATGACAAAAATAAAGGAGTAAAAGATGGCATGATAACAAAAAAGTGTCAGGAATGAAAAGAAACAGACCCACCTGAACCTAGGGGGCTTCAATCATCCTTGCCAAAAGCCTGGGTGAAGAATCAGAACTTCAAGCCCCTTTGAAACACCAGCAGGATGGGGGCCATCCAGATTTCAGGGGGAATCTGATTCCAGAGGGCAGGCATTGCTATAGAGAAGGCACACTTCCAGGGTCCTGATAGATGGCATTCTTCAGGAACCCAGAGAACACCAACCCTGCCAGATCAAATCAGCTAGGCAGAGACTGTGGGGGATAGGTGGTCCTTCAAGGAACCAGATCCTATGCCATGTAGGGCTTTATAGGTAACAACCAACATCTTGAATCACACCCAGAAGCAAATTGGCAGCCAGTGTGGCTCATGAAGCAGAGGTATTACATGGGCACACCAAGGCATGCTCGTCATTGCCCACACCACTGCATTCTGGACCAGTTGAAGGTTCTAGGTGGTCTTCAAGGGCAGCCCCATGTAAAGCATGTTGTAGTAGTCAAGCTGTGAGGTGACCACGGCATAAGTGACGGTCTGAAGGGCCTCCCAATCTAGGAAAGGGCACAACTGGTGCAGCAGATGAAGTTGTACAAAGGCGTTCCTAGCCACAGCTGCCGCCTGCTCATTGAGCAGATATTAAAATTGCTCACAACTTCAAATCCCCATCAAAATGCATTATCGTGGTGGTGGGACTCATCCCACTATCAGGACTGCACCTTCATCCTGAATATCTCATTATAATTAAGGGAGGATTCTTTCTCTCTTGTCTAGTCAACAATAGAAAACCCATTTCCCCCAATATTTCACTCGGTTCTTATAATTATTCCATGGGCATTTTATATAACTTCTCCTAGGACATTTTCACATTAATCTCCAACTTTTTCCCTGTACAATCTTGGTAATATCCAATCCACCTTCATGCAGGAGAGCTGCCAAGACCCACTTTCAATCAACTGGCTGTCTAAATTCAAATGGATTTGAGTTGTATTCATAATAGACAAATAATGGATTGTTGGGGGGGGGGGAAGCAGACCTGATAGCAAGTTTTTATTATTCTTTTGTGTGTGTGCGTGTGTGAACGAAGGTGGATTTGTTGTTTTGGTCTGTTCAAAATCCATACATACTCATATACAACTTCTACAATATCTAATGTAGGGGGGACAATGTAGGGCTTTTTGCTTGTTGCCCTGATTGGAGGACAGCAAGAACCATCTGTTCATAGAAATATCTTTGACTCTTAGTTGCTGAGGTTTTTTTCCTCATACTTAGCTGAAAGTATATTGCATTTACAATAGTAGTAGATATTATCTGACAATGCTGATTTTCAAGTCCAAAAAGCTCCTATAATTTACCTCTGTAATATGTATTTTTGGAAAAGATCTTGGGCACCTCTTAATTAAAAGTTTCTACAGTGGCTGCTAATTCTATTTTTTCCTAGTCAGTGAAGCAGCAGAATAATTGATTCATGAGCCTTCATGAACATGTTTTCTTTAGTTTTTCTTGGATGGCAAGCTAATACCTTTCACAATTAAAAGAAAAGCAAAAGAATGGAAACCAATCTTAAAATCTCATAAATGTATAGGTATAGCGAGAAAAGCAATAGGTGGAATAAGGAGAAAGCTTGCAGGATAGCCTTCTGAAAAGCATGAATAAGGTTTTGCTGATTCATAATTATCTTCATTTTAAAATGACACAAATGAAATTTGTAAAGATATAGAAGGTGGAGAACAACAAGGTAATTTGGAATCTATAAAAACTGAATGAAGGATGCTAATTATACATTAAACCATTACTGGACAAGGAATCCCAACCTCTTCTCATTTAAGAAGTTCAGTCAGTGCCTTTGGGCTGATAATTGTCTCTCAGACTACTTTGCTTCACCAAAAGACATAAGGGAAGAAATTGGGAATGGGACATGCATGGTGCTTAGATCTTTTTGGAATAAGGAAAGGAGAGAGTGCACCAGGGACATCTTCCCCCAAACTGGTGGCCTCCAAATATTCTGGAATATAATTCCAATCATCACAAATCACTGACCACTATGGTGATTCAAAGAACTATGGGGTACCAGTTAGACAAGGCAGCTCTGATATATGGAACTAAGGCACAACCTAAATTGAGAAAATCTGGCCTGCTATTCTCTGTTAAAAACTAAATTGTCTTCTAAATTGCTAGGTGGCTAAACTCTCTTGGGATGCTAGCCAGCCAGGGCATCGATGTAGTAATGAGACACTCATTCTTTGATCATGGGCACAACCATCTTGTGGACCAGAACTTCAACCCATTGCCGGTATGTATATGATACAATGTTCTGTATCTTCTGAACTTGCAGTAGCATCCCTCTGTTCTTACTGGTCCTCTGTCCTACATATCTGATTGGTCTCCTTCAGCATTACTCTAGATGTGTAATGTAACACATGGCCTTTCTGACCTATTTTACATCCTTCCACATATACAACCAAACACTATTTCTTCATAATTACTTATTTTGCAGGAGTCACTTCAAGACAGCCTTTTTAATCTACTAACAGAGAGGGAGCATGGTAGCTCCCTTATTCACATGCTGTATCCCCATCAACTTCTTTCTATCATTTCCAGCCAAAATTCTCTCTTTTTTCACTCTTACTACGTATATACCTCAGCAGTAATTCCCTTCATCTCCCTCACTTCTCTGCTTGTTTCTTTCTTGTTTGCCCTGTATTATCTCTGCTGAATCAGTCTGAGTTTTTCTCTCCTTTTCATGTTGCCAGTCAGTAAATCAGAGGATTTGTGCATGACTTCTGTGCCCTTGACCTGCTCCTCAAATTCTTGGCTTCAGCAAATAGACAGACAGACACACACACACATACACAGGAAAAAAAGTTTTGCACACACAGCTGAAAATCTACTGCTCTTTGTGGCCTGTTTGAACTCGGCTTGAAAATACATTTTTCCAGATTGGTTTCTTTCAGTGCTAATAGGAGACATTAGTTAATGTCAAGCACAACATGTTGAAAGCAGATGGGGCAGGGTTACCTCTGGAGCTATAACTTTGTCCACTATGAGAGCTCAATGGGACCCTTGTGGGTTGCATAAGACCAAGAGAATCAGGGCTTTTCTTGTGGGAGGGGCATTTAAGCCATAGCAGGGAGGAAGGAGGGGCAGGAGAGGAGTCATAGGGTCCTGAAAACATACAATAAAAACAACCAAAGCCAAGGCAGCCAGGTCCTTAGGGAAAGAGCAAAGTGGCAGGAAAATGGAGCTGAACAAAGTTTAGATTTATAGGAATGAAGGTGAAAGAAGTTCACAATTTCACACAGCAGGGCAGTTCCTTCCAGTTTAATGCAAACCCTCTTATTTGCAGTTCTTCAAAAGGGCTGAAGTATTCACTATTCTAAGTGTACAGGGCTCTAATAAGAAAATCATACGTAAATCTTTTAAAATAACAGGTTTTCTTTTCCTCTTTTTTCAGACTAGTAAATTTTACACCTTGTAAGTGAAACTTGGCAGCATCAAAAAGCTCTGAATCTCCCTGGCCAGAAATGTATAGGCCTGGTACCGGTCTGAAACACGCTGCCTGCAGGGCCCTGGAATGCAGCATGCAGATCTGGGAAGCAAAGAGCAGCCACAAAAATGGAGTTATTCCTGTAATGAAGAGGAAGTTTTCTGCAATTAGATTCTAGGAGAGCATCACTTTCTGGAGTTTTCTCCCAGCTAATCATTTGTTGATTCTGGCTTCTTATGCCTCACATCCCCAGGAAAACATTTACAAGATATCAGCCTATGCAACTCAGTACCAACCTTTTTATGTTGGCACTGGATATAATTCTATAGTAGAAACAGAAGAGGACATGCATGGTCTGTAGTTCTTATGATTTAGGATCCCTCCTTCTCCAACTCTGAAACAGAAAGATTGAGAAGAATGATACTTCTTGAATGCTTCTTTTTTCCATAAGGTTAAGGTTTAATTTTAGAAAAGAAAAAAACTGCTTTATAAATAGGCTGATAGGAAAATAGAGAGAGAGTATGGATGAATGGATGAAAATATGTTACAGATAAATATCAGGCTACTAAGAGGCGCAGAGGCACAGACCTGTGTTACAAATTCAAATTAAAATGGTATCTGCTGTTAACTGAGTATTAACAAGTAAATACTTTTCTCCAAAGATAGTTACACCAAAAAGGCAGTTTGGGGCGTCAGAAAAATCCAAACCCTATTCAGAGCTTCCTCTAGGATTTCAAACATTCTAAATTAATCATACTAAGAAAAAAGGACATATTATACATGCATCTTCTTCTGCGTAAAACACACTCGGTGCTAATATCTTTCTTCCTATCCGGAACAGGTGATTTGTTTGGGTGGAGGAGCAGGGGGCTGTTTAACAGGCAGAAATGCTATGGCTCGGCTGCAGCAGACTCTGAACCTGGGCGGGATGTGGTGCCTTTTCTTTTCCCGTGGGAGCTATCAGAGAGATGAAAGTGGCTATTTGGGGCTGTGCAAGACTGCTGGGATGTGAAATTGAATCCTCCCACTAACTCATTGACAAAGACTTTTCCACATGCTATCTTTCCTTTGTGCAAACCCTCCAATGCTGAGAGAAGCCATGACATCAATCACTGCCTTAGCCTGACTACCCATCAGCTGGCGACAAGCTTTGGCTGGGTGCCTTGCAAGAGCTCAATTGCTCTCCTTTCCATGCCATGGCAGATCTAGCCCTAACTCCAGAGATTTTCTGCTGAAGGAATGATAATTGAGCTGTTGTGGCATCTATGCAACAGTTCAGAGATGTAGGGTAATTCAATTTGCCAAAGTGAGTATCTTTCAACTCTCTGTTTTGGAATATCAAATATATAAGGCTGTGCTTTTAAATACCACCCATCTTTTACAAGTTTAACAGTATATGGTGCAGTATAAAATACCTTTTCAGCCCTATTTGTTAGAAACAAAAACATATCTGTATTCATTACATATGAACAAACAGCACATGAACCCACAGCCGTTGAGTTGCCAAGTAGGATGCTGGCCTTGAAGCTACCCAAGAAATTGAATGCACTGCAGTCGTTTATTCATCTTGCAATAATAGCTTATATAGCTTTGCTATTAAGAAGTGCACTTGCATCTGTATGTGTGTATTTCCCCCCCTTCCCCTTCGTTGAAATGCAAAGTACCTTTTCAAGGCAACCAAGGAGCCCTTGCTGCTCAGTTGCCATCCTTGTCCATGTTCTGTACTATGTCAAGAATATACATTAACACAGTATGGCTTAAAAATTCCTCTGGCAGGTGCACATGACCAACAGGTACCACACAGACTAAGAGCACATTGCCACCATGTCATAGTAGCGATTAAATTTACTCTTGCGGAGTTACAAGTGTATTGTTATGTCATGGGGTTATTTATCCATAGAATCTAACTAGACTGGGAGAAGTTTTAAGAGTGAAAGCATGAGGAATGACTCACTTTGTAGAGTTCCATTCCGTTTGTTCCTGCTTTTGTCACATCACTGAGATTTGGTGCATTTGCCCCAAAGTCAGCTGAATAACATTGCTGGGCAACTTTGTGTAGCTCAACCTGATCACTATTACCCACTCATATAAACATCTAGGATAACTTGTTAGCAGATGAAAACTACTCTGCATTTATGCAGCAGTTGCTGTTGAGGAGAACCCTTTTACTATTCAAAAACAAACTGTTCCTGAATTGAAGGCAACCACAAACTCTTAGGACTGTTTTCTTTCCACATACTGACTCAAGCTCTTGCTTAGAAGTCTAGGGCCAAATGGAGGTACCCAGGTATCCAAAAGAAAAGTCTCTTTGGTTTCTATGTCCTAATCATAATTCCTTGAATTAGGAAACATGAAAATTTCCTAGTTACCTCAATATTGTCTGTACAGGTAGTCCTTGTTTAGCAACTGCCTCATTTAGCAACTGCTCGCAGTTACGATAGTGATGAAAAAGTAACTTCATGACCAATCCTCACATTTACGACCTTCGCAGGTCTGTAAAGCAAAGGAAAGCCGAAGTAAGATCATAAACAAAGTTGCGGTTTCACTTAATTACTGCTTTTCTTAACAACCATGTTGCCAGTCCCAATTGTGGTTGCTAAATGAGGGCTATATACTGACTGGCAGTGCATTTTAGTTCTTCGGGTACATTTTTTCCAGCTCTATTTGAAAACGCCATCAGATTTCCTCAAATCATATTGGACTTGGGATAACCCCACCACAGTGAAAATGTTAACCTGTAGGAACTGCAGTGAGACCTGTCATCTTTCCCAACAAATACAATTTCATTAAGATAGTGCAGAGAAATACCCCATATCAAATCAGTGACTAACCAGCAAAGATTGAATTCAGTTTGTACAGAAATATGTTTTTTCTTTGTGAAAAGAAATATTAGCAACACATTTTCATAACACATAAGCCTTATCATGTAATTACTACATTAGAATTATGGCAAATTGTTTACAGATTCTATTCTATCATAGCAACTTTCATCCCCAAAAGCTGCAATACCACTCAGTTCAAGAATGTAGGATTTTTAAAGCAACATTTTAGAAGAACAGCATAAAACAAATTGCAGGCATAGAAGCCCAGCCCAAATTGCCATCCAGGCCATATTGCCAATCTGTTCTTTAGTGAATTTAAGCAATGGGATGCACAGCTCTGGTCACAACAAAGTACTACCACTGTACCTAAAAGTGTGTGTGTGTGTGTTAACCTGGTCCCCTCAACATTTTGTTTTATTACAGCTCCCATTATTCCCAGCCACTCTGATAGTGTTAGGGATATTGAGAATTGTAATCCAGTACATCTAAAAAGCCATTGGATTTTCTAAAATAAATGAAGTTCATCTAGCTATGTTCCTTACAGCTGTATGAGTATTCAGTTCAGTGAACACTGTCATTTTCATTATTAGAGAACAATATTGGTCCTTACTATTACTTGAAGTAATTCTCAGTTGGAGCAAATTAAGGATCTGTTCAAAATCCTATTGTTTGATCAGGGCAACTAAGATCACAAACATTAAAACAACATGTAAAAAAACTTCCAGGAGGACTATGATAATAGCATATCTTATGAGATGCTTCCAGATTCTTCAGACTCAGTAGCTACTGTAAAGGATATTCTAAATGTGAGACTTCATGGAAAATAGTTAATGAAGAATTTGTTCTCCCCAGATTTCCATGGCCTTTTCTCTAATATGACAACTCTAAATTGTACTATAACATATAGTGGTACAGGAGTACCAAATTGTGTATGCACCTTAGCTAGGAATAAATACTCTGTCTGCTTTGCACATGAATCCTAAGGGTGTATTGTTCTCATATTTGTGGTAAATGGCACTCTTATTGTTGTGCTGCATCTCATTTGACAAATGCATGTACATTTGTCACTGGAAGGAACAGGACATGAAGTGACGAGAGCAGAACCACAAGTGGCATTTTATGTTCTGGGTTTTCCACCAACTCTCAGAGAACTGGGAGTGGAAGGACTATTGTACTGCAATTACTTGTCAGGTTACAGCAGCATTTCTTCACCATGTGGTTAGGACACAGTTTTACAGCTCAGATCTGGTTGCAAAGGTCTATAGGGCCCCTGGGAATGTATCCCGTAAGTCTCTGCTAGGAGACAGCCGTGTCTACTTAGTAGGATTGTATAAAAGGTCATCTAATTTATGTTTTTTCCAATACCTCCTTTTCTAAACACACCTATATAAGAAACCCCCAGGGCCATGTCACAAACTTTCTATGCAAAAGGATACTCAAATTCTATACCAGTAAGTTCAGTATTGGATAGAGCTGAAATGTTTTTGACAGTTATTGTGAAAGAAAGAATTTGTGCAAGTACTGCTTCTCAACACAAGAAAAACACATATTCCACCTTCTCCCATTTATGTAGAAAAATTCTGTCCTATATTTTCTGAAAATAGAGAAGCATAATTCTGATGCTTTATGCTTAGTGTTACTCTTGGACTGTAGCAAACTAGAATATGCTTCATAATCCTTTATACTGCCTCTCCATAGGCTCCGTCCTAGGAATAATTGATCTGGCTTTTTTGACAGGACTACTGGCTCTCACTGCTTTACAAGCGACTTGTCGGACCCAGGGTACTTGCTGTTCATGTAGCTGGGCTGCAGAGAAAACCTCGCCCTGGCAGGGTGATTCGTGATAAGTTACGCATCTATGCTCACTGTACCAGCTACTACAAGTGAGTTATCAGGGTAGATGCAACTATTTAAGTAAAAATGGAGATTGGGGACTGATGACTAGCAGACCCAAGAGGGATTAATCAACTACATCCACAAAAGGAAAATATCATCCAATTTAGATGAATCTCTGTGTTCCAGGCTCCCAGACTTATGTGTCATTATACCTGCTAAAGAATGAAATTCATTTCTTGAACAGTGGTGTACCAGGAAAAAAAAATATAGATAAAAGCATAGGTTTTGCTTCTGCCTTTTTCTTCCCATTGCTGTCTTGCAACAAGGAGGGTGGTTATTGCCTAGGGGCAGGATATGTGGACCTATTTTTCTCTTCTCCCCCCCCTCCCTTCAATGCGTACAACTTGGCAACTTGGCTTGCTCAGATTGTGGAAAGGGTGAGGAATAACACTGGTGTTGATAAGGAAGCTCTCCTATCTCTGGGACTATGGTGGGAGCCTTTGTGGATGACATCAAGGGAGTACGGTTCCCTAATGGCCCCATGATTTCGTTTCAGTTCCTTCTCTCCCCCCACTTCACCTTTGGGGCACCTAGCCTAGCTAGAGTTTCTATGATAAGCCTTCAAAGCATCCTGGGAGTGTAGGGCCTGGGACTTCCCTACAGACACAGGCCCCTATTGTTGTTACTTCACATCACCCAGATGCTTTCAGCAAGGCTCCCCCTCCCTCTTCTAGAGGGAACCTTGGCCAACGACTGACAGGTAACTGGCAATAGAAACAGGGAGAGATGGGAAAGGAAAAGAAGGCCCAGGTGAGCAGACCCTCGGCTCCATTCCATGCCCAAGGCAAATACTGTAAATGGCAGACACCTGTGCACAGGCAGAAGATAACTCCTCTTTGGGGATATTCTTGCCTAAGCTTACCGCAAAAGCAGGAGTACTGAAAACCTTATAAATGCTGACTAAGGAAATAAAATGTATAAAGCTTCAGATGCCTCATATTATCATCGTAATCTGTATAAACATCCTATAATAAAATAGCACTGTCACCATGCCACCCCCC